TTCCTCACATGGCAAAAGTACTTGTCATACAATTGAATTTTCAGCGCGTGAAGCAACAGTTGAGCACGTGACAGACATTCTGGAAGATCACTCCTTTACAGAGTTCATGGGCGTCGAAGATGGCAAGGATTTTGACCATTCGACAGCTCCGCAGTCGTGTTCTCTTGTGTCCTCTAATGGAGCGAGTTCCTCGGAGTTACCCCGAGGCGCTGACAAGGAGCAGAGCATGTGTGTGGGCCAGCTGGGCTCTGCAGACGCTATGGAAAGCCCTTTGTGTTCTGTACTGGTAAAAGAGACTTCAGACCATGAGACTTACCCTGATACTTCCGTAGATGATTTTATTGGGAAGGACCACTTGGATGGTTCTGACTGTGAAGAAGGTGCTTCTGCAGATCAAGCCCACGTCTTGCCTAGCTGGGTAGCAGTGGGTGAACAAGTCTGTGTTGGAAGTAATAAGATGGGCACGGTGAGATACGTTGGAACGGTGGATTTTTCAGCTGGAATCTGGGTTGGAGTTGAACTAAATGTTCAGCTGGGTAAGACTAAATATGGTCCGGGTTATCTGTGCAGTTAGTGTGATCTATTTGAAAAGTTAAACTACAATCATATGCTGTTCAGTCTTGGGAAATGCCTCTAATTTCATATAGGCTTGGAATCTGATACACCCAGTTCTAGGCTTTATAGGAATACTTTGCTATAGGTTAATTTTTAACTGTATTATAGCCCTGTTCTTCTCGCTTTATGCAGAAAAATGCTTTTGCACATTGTGTTGGTTCCCGTTGGTACTCATCTATTTTTATAGATTAGAAGAACAAGCAAAGCCTAAAATTGGCTGATTTTTTTAAAATCAACATGCATGTTTGTGGGCAGTACTAACAATGGACATGACTTGTCAAATAGGTTTTCTGTCTGTAGCTTTCAGAGATTTTTTTTTTCTTTCTTTTTTTTCACTGGGGAAAGCTTAATTAGAGAGCACAGATTTTCTTTAACTTCAGTTTGATGGGGTCAGAAAAAGTCAGTGCTCTGCAAGTGTTATGAGACTCCTACAGAAATGCTTCAGATCTTTTAAAAAGATGATGGTCTTAGTAGTTTAATAGATATTAACACTGATAAAGAAGTTCTTCTGGCAGCTAAGTTTTAAGCTTTGTAAGCAATCAGTTTTGAGGATAGTTTATTTTGTAAAATGAACAAATGATTGACTTTTTAAACTGTTAGTTAACAAAGTAATTTTTTAGGAAATCATCTTTTTGGTCACAATTCAAGCCATCCTTTCCAGGTTTTGTTCTCCCTAGTGTATGGTATGCATCTGGCTTCATCACTCAGCATTAAAAATCTTGACTCTTTGACAGATAACCAAAGGTATTCACACTTCAACACTACAATTGTATGTGCTCATGAAAGTAGCAACAACTAATTCTGTGCATTTATTTTCATTGAAGGGAAGCATGATGGAACTGTAAAAGGCAGAGAGTACTTCCACTGCAAACCGCGACACGGTGTCTTTGTTCGTCCTGGGCGCCTCAGCAAAGCACCAGCTTCCACAAGGAAATGGAGTAGCACTTCACGGTCTCAGGCAACTTCCACTTCAGAGAAACGGAAAAATTCCATGCTTCAAGGCTCTTCATCCACTCCTAAAACAGGAGAAGTCATCTGCCATTCAGGAGATGCAGCAGCTTCTGCTTTTTCTAGGAAACAGGAAAACGGGAAATCTTGGATTAACTAAACTGCCGTATTTTTGCACTTACTACACGCATCACTGTGTAGAAAACTTTATGGATTTTTGGAGCTATTGTACATTTTAATCTGTCCATACGGAATGTGTATTCTCTAGAGTCCTTGACTTAATTCTCTAATTTTTTATAAATAATATATATATTATATATATATATGAATGTGTATCTATAGTTTGTCTGCCAGTGGGCAGATACGGCTGCACACTAAAATACAGTTAAAGCTGATCTGTAGATAACTGAGGTACTGGACTATTTGTAACGCAACAACTTGGGAGATATATTTTAAACAACAAAAAATATTTTATTGTGGAAAAACCAGGATGTAAATCCATATTTGGAAAAAAAGCTACGGTTTGCTGTTCTTAATTACCAAAGAACTTGTTTTAGACTGACACATTTGCTGTTTAAATCTTTCTATTGTAAGTGTTTTAACTGATAACTTGGTGCCATGTTTCTTTTAGTCACTGGGCACCGTGCAGCCTTATGTTCTGTGTTTAAGCACACTGAAATATCCAACTGCTTCATATTTTTTGTCTTCCTAGAGGCCTGCCACTGTGCTGACTTGGCATTGGATTGAAATGACTAACAATGCCCGAAGCTATACGTCTGGCATTTCGTACGTTAGCATAAGCCAGCTGGGCAGTTTGACTGCAGAAACAGTATTACTGCAAGGGCGTGAGAGGACAACGTTTTGGGGGTTGGGGGGTGGTGTTTGGTTTTTTGGGTATGGGGGGGAAATGGGGAAACAAAGAAGCAGTAAATGGATAATGACTGCAAACTTTGCACTTGTTACTTGCTGGTTATTATCAAGATGAAATAGAACCTGCTAAAGTAATTTTAATCTGTAAAGTTTATTTTAATAATGGGAATGATGGAGGGATTTATGTCTGGTGCTCATGAATTCCTAAGAAGGTTGTTCCACATGTAGATACTGTAGATGCCTGTACAAGCGTTCTGGATGTTTGTAAAGTAACATGGTAAAAAAAATGAGTGAAGTGAATGGCCTGCTGTATCTGTTCTTCTTTGTTTCTTAGCAAGTGAATGATTGAGATACCTGGGACCTTACTGAAAAGCTGCTGTTCTTTCTTTGATTGTTGTGTACAGTAAGCGGACTCTCGTATTTTACTATTTACTGTAAAGAACTGTAATTTATATACTGCCACACTGTATTTAATTGGTACAGACCTATTGTGTGTTAGAATACAGACTGTTTACTTGGGATTTAAAAAAAAAGTAATGTTTTGCTTGTATTTGGTGCAATTAGGTTTCATGGTCAAATAGTAAGCTGTTTCTAGCTGATGGTGCTCAGATGTAAAGTACTTTGTAAGAACGCTGAAGGACAATACGATTGGAGTGGAAGACTGGATGGTATTAACCTGTTCTAACACTGACCAATTCATGCAGCGTCAGAGGAGAATAGCAGCCCCTGTGGATACACATTCCTCACCTGCTGCTTTCCCTGTCCTTCATAGGAGGGGAAGCGGAGCTGGGGAACTCCTGCCAGAGAATGGTGTTATGTGGGTCAAGGGGAGATGGGACAAGTTCCTGGAAGACAGACATGACAGACTCATTGCTAAATATGTGAATGCCTCAGCTGCGTACAACACAGTTGGCAGCTGGGAGGGTAATGTGCTTGGGGGGGTGGTGAAAGCAGGGGGGTGCGAAGTTCAGTGTACTTGCCCTTGACACAGCTTTTGGCTCCTCTGAGATGGGATTCTTATGTGTTAATTGATTTTGGTGAAATGAATATCTTTGCAGAACACTTCATACTTCTGGTGTCCACCTAGAGTTGCTCTCTCTGCATTAATGATACTACTGCTAGAGGGAATTGCCATAATAGCAAAAAAAATGCTTTGTGCAGAAGTATTTTATCAGGCACAGGTGCTCTTAGAACATTGCCAGGTACCTACCAGGCACCACAGTCTTCAAGTTACTTTTAGATGTCACTTTAATCTTCTAATAATGCTTTTTAGAAAATATTTGTGTGTGTGTGTATGTGCACATTTGCATAAGCATGTTTGTCTAAGGCCACTACAACCAATTTTGAACACTAATGTGGCCATTTTCTTAGGGCAGAGATGCAGTATTTACACTAGATTAGCTGAACTGGGCTCTTCATGGTTTCAGACCTTTGAGAGCACAGAATACATGATTGCTTAAGAAACACTGGAATAATCTTCCTTCTTGGGTTATATGATCTATATGTGCCAGAGAAACCTAAACAAGCCAACCTAGTTCATGCTGTACACGTTTCGCATAACCTGTGCTGTCCTGACTGCTGTTATTGCTGGAAGGCCTGTACTTTCGCAGACCTCGCCTGTTAACATGCCCTGTCCTGGGTTAGCGTAAGGCTAGGAGGAGCGTATCTGATGAGTGTGATGGGGTAATGTGGAAAAAGGCAAGCGTTTTAGTTGATGTGCTCCTCAAACTCTGGTACATAAACACAGAAGCAGTTTTTCTATTAGTAATGTTAGACTAGTAGTTTGCTGTCTTGAACTTTGTAGTCAGTAGAATAACGCCATGGCGCTAGTTCAACTAGAAATTGGGGTTTGGGTTTTGGTTTTTTTTTAAATATTATCTTAACCAGCATCTAAAACGGGTTAAATGTCATCTTGACAGAACTGACCTGTCGTCTCGCTGGTTTCCCCAGTCCAGGCCTCTCCCATGTTTTAGGGACCTCTTCGTCTGTTGAGCTGGTAATTTACAGAATTCAAAGGAGAAAAATAAAAATGTAAAATCTCAGACTGACTGAAAACGACTAGAGCTGTGGGCTCCATCCATCTCCCTCCCGCCTTCACACAGTTAACGGCAGCAATTTTTACAACGGGGAAAAAAAAAAAAAAAAAAAAAAAAAAAAAACAAAACGAAACCGGGGTGGAGCGGAGCGAGGGACCGGCCCCCTCGTGAACCTGGGGCGGGACGTGCGGCGACGCACGCTTCGGCCTCAGCGCCGGGCTCCGTCGCTGAGGTAAATACCTACGGCGGGGCGCGAACCCGCGGCTACCGGCTTTCACCGGGGGTCGGGGAACCCCCCGGCGCGTCTCCGTCCGCCCGCGCGGTTCCCCCTTCGCCCTTCTGCGGGCGGTCAGCTGCACGTAGGCCGGCTACCGGCAGGGATTGCCGTCGCTTTTACCTCAGGGAGTAAAATTTAAAAGAGCGTGGTGCGAGTTAAACGTCAGGGCAAATCGGCGGCGGTGCGTTTTCGTACGTATTGAAGGTTTATTGTGATTTATTTCTTCTCAGGTGGCGTACTTCCGAGGGATGCCGATGAGTCTCTTCCAACTGACGGGTAGAAGGTTGGTTTCTCAGGCGTATTGCGGACTTAAGGCTGCTGCTTCAAAGAAACAGAAGGTTTGCTCCGAAATGGCTCGTCCCAGTTCAAGTAAGGCACCTGTTTGTTTGCGTTGGTACCCCCCGCAGGTTTTTAAGCTGGCTTTGAAATTCTAGAAGGTTTTGTGTAATAGGTGAAACCTACAGTTTAATTCAAAACGTTTAGAAGAGCGTGAAGCTGATTTTTTTTTTCCTAGCTGCTAAAATTTATCTTCTGTGTCTGTATTCCGTATAGTTCCAGAAACCCTCACATCGTTGCAGTCAGTATGATTGCCTGGTGACATGTCTTTAGTATTTATAATTTATCCACATAAACATACACTGGTTAATTGCCTTTCCTTTTCATAATCCTAATGGGTAATAAAACTTACTCCTCGTTTCTTTGTACAAGAATTATGGAGGGCCTCGAGCATTTGTAACGACTCGGGAGCACGGTATTGGGTAACCCCAGGAGCCCTGTTCAGTCTAGTAGTAGTAAATATCCTCTTTTTTGGTTGTTTGAGGGTTTTCTGGTTTTGTTTTTTAATTTGAGGATATGCCTTAACTTGAAAACTGCGCAGAGAGCTTCGCAGGTGTAATAGCAAAACCCCTAACAGTTGGGTGGCCAAGGCACGCTTGCTTTTTCTGCCATCTTGAGCATCAGCATTTGGCTGCTGTCTGAGACTGGAGACTAGACTAGGAGGACTTCAGGCCTCATCTTTACATGTTCAAGAGCTTGCAAGGCTTGGTTTCCAACAGTAGATAGGGTATAAGAATTGCAGTTCTCTGCCCAGTTCTACGGCTCTTGTGCTGTGGGTCTTGGGACTTCTCCAGTGATAGTGTCTCCTTATAAAAACTTACTTGCTTTTGGTATTAAAAAAAAAAAAGAAACAAAAAACCCTCATGTAGTAAATTGTGAAGGTTGGTGTTGTGATCAGCAGCTTGAAGTTCAGCTGGAGGCCAGTCACTAGTGGTATACTGCAGGAGTCAATACTGGGGCCAATACTGTTTAATGCCTTCATTAATGATCCGGATGATGGGGCAGAGTGCACCCTCAGCAAGTCTGCAGATGACACAAAGCTGGGAGGAGTGGCTGATACACTAGAGGGTCGTGCTGCCATCCAGAGGGACCTCGGCAGGCTGGGGACGTGGACTGACAGGAGCCTCATGAAGTTCAGCAAACAGAAATGCCAAGTCCTGCCCCTGGGGACAAATAACCCCAGGCACCAGGACAGGCTGGGGCCAACCTGCTGGAAAGGCCCTGGGGGTCCTGGTGGACGCCAAGCTGACCATGAGCCGGCGATGAGCCCTTGTGGCAAAGACCACCAACAGCCTCCTGGGCTGCACTCGGCAGAGCATCTCCGGCAGGTCGATCCTTCCCCCCTGCTCAGCCCTGGTGAGATGCACCTGGAGTGCTGGGTCCAGTCCTGGGCTTCCCAGTACGAGGGAGACATGGACATGCTGGAGAGAGAGTCCAGCGAAGGGCCACAAAGATGATTAATGGCTTGGAGCATATGAGGAGAGGCTGAGAGCCAGGACTGTTGAGCCTTCAGGAGACCAGGCTCAGGGGCGTTTTATCAATGCAAAAGAATACCTGATGGGAGGGAATGAAGACAAGGCAGACTCTTCTCTGTAGTGCCAAGTGACAGGACAGGAGGCAACGGACACAAATTAAAGCATGTGAGGTTCCATCTGAACACAAGAAAACACTTTTTTTACTATGACGGCGGTCAAACACTGGAGTGGGTTGTGCAGGGAGAGGTGGTGGAGTCGCCATCCTTGGAGATACTCAAAAGCCACCCAAGTGGACAGAGTCCTGGACAGTCTGCTCTGGCTGACCCTGCTTGAGCAGGGGGGGTTGGACTAGAGGATCTTCAGAGGTCCTTTCCCACCCCAGCCATTCTGTGATTCTAAAATATGTTGCTTTGAAATTCGTAGTTGAGGTAAACTGAAAGAGAATTTTTTTTGTGTCTCTGTAGCTAACCTGTTTCTTTTTAATCTTGTTTTCACTCTTAGAAAAATGTAAAGGAAATTTCCCATCTTTTTCCCAAGTTATTTTACCATGTGGGGAAAAATGGAGGGAATATACATTCAAAAATAGAAAATATAATTGCAAACCTAGAAAAGGGGCAAGATTGCCTCAGAAGGAAATGAGTTTTCCCAGATTACCGTAATTTTGAAGGTGATACTTTGTAACTAAACGTAAACTTTTTTCATCTCGGGGTCTTACCTTACAGTTAGGAAGAAAACTGTTCCTGTGTGGTGGTGACAACAGTTATTATCTAGGTAGTGTCTAGTGTGGGGTTTTAGTTTAAGGCTCTGTCTTTCAAATATTGAGTGTATTCGTAGTTTAATACATGATGCTCTACTGAGCTTGCTCATGTGCATTTTTGAGGATCTCCAGGAGCTGCCCTTCAAATTCCAATATACAGAAACTCAGAAACAAATTAGTATTCTGAAATTAAAGTCATGGGAGGTGTATGTGGAAGACATTTCTGGATGCATAAGTTTGCCAGCACTGTCTGTATGGCTTCTTATAAAAAAGTGTAAGTGTCTGAACAGCTGTTTGTTTTTCCTCCCCACGCATAGATATGGCTGATTTTCGAGAAGTGTTTGCTAAAGCGAAGCATATAGCCATTATCACAGGAGCTGGTGTTAGCGCGGAGAGTGGAGTTCCGACCTTCAGAGGGGCTGGAGGTTTCTGGAGAAAGTGGCAAGCCCAGGTACGTACTGGTGGCATGTGTCTGCACAGCTGTGCTTCTCTGTACCATCAGGTAGGTGAGCGTGAAGGGTCAGAAGAAGCTGGGTACCTTAGGGGGGGAAGTGCTCCCACAGCGGTGTGGCAGGGACAGAGCTCTCCCGACAGCCCTGTCTGCAGCTCTTCCCTGTGCCCTGGGGGTCTGCTTTGTGCAGCTGCAACGTCTTGCCCGTCATTTGGTTTATCAGTTGTTTGGGAAAAACAATGTTCTTGCAGACAGCTCTGGGTCTTTCTACCATCCTTGTTTTCTTGCTGCCTTGCAGCTTAGCTGTTTGCTCATCTTCTGACACCCTCACTGTTTTTCTACCTTGCGGGGCCTTTCCTGCTCTAAACTCTTAAGAACCTTTCACCAAAATAAGACAGAACCGCTGATACTGGCTAGTTGTTTTCTTTTAATCTTGGTTTCTCATAATACTCTTTAAAAATGTTTTAGGAATTTTTTTTCTTTGGAGGCAGAGTTCCTCACAGTCTCTAACTCTCTCACAAGCTCTGTCTCTCTTGCTGGCGTGGATCTTGCCAGTGTTGGGAGCCACGGGGGTGGGAGAGGAGGTGGAAGCAGACACTGGGGGGGTGGAGCAGTGCGGCAGCAAGCACCAAAATGTGCAAGTTGTATAGGTGCCTGGTGAGTCTGATCCTGTGTGGTGCTGCAGATGTTTCAAGTAACCATCAGACTGTCAGTAACTGCTACCCCAAACTGCAATCATGTTTGCTTTCTTCATGGTTTTTAATGACAGCATTCGTGAAAGATTTCATGAAGTTAAAAAGGGGTCAGAGAGATGAGTTTTTCAGATGGTTTGAATCTAAAGATGCATTTTTTTCTTTCAGTGACTATCAAGTCAAAAAAAGCATGCGTGTGTATAAATGCCTGGTCCTTCTGCATCAGAAAGCTTGCATTCAGCGTTTTTATATCAGTAGAATTGTGCATTGAAGCATTAGACAGAGCTACTCCTCATTTTAAAAAAAGGCAAAATTAAAGTTAGTGTGGAAAGCATAGCTTAGATTTTACTGGCACATAAAAGACAAGACATTAGACTTCGATTTTGACAATGGCTGTAATTTGGCTTGTGTTACACTTAATTTAAGGCAGAAAAGAAATTGCTGGCAAAGGAAATATATCCACACGATGCTGAGTTCTATGGCTACTGTGGAAAACAGGGGTTTGAATGCCAAAAATCGTGTGCATTGAAATATCTCATCTTCCTTTGTGCTGTACTAAACTCCTAATAGTTTGGTAGGGCAGCACAGAGTAAGGTCCGAGTGTATTATGTAAAACCACGTACCATGCTATTGATACCGTTTTTTTCCTCATTTGATAAGGTACTTTGATTTGTCATCCTTGTGAGGGCAATTGAACTACATGCTTGTCCACTGCACCTGGTTATAAATAGTCTGCTTTTGATTATCTTGTTATGCAGGTAGCAGTGTAAATGGCAGTAATCTAGCAGGCTTCATCTGGGGAGGGGTTTTTCCTGCCTTTTCGTTGGTAGGATGAATTGTTATGTCTTTTGCAGGAGCTGGCTACTCCAGAGGCTTTTGCGCGAAACCCTTCTCGTGTATGGGAATTTTACCATTACCGCCGGGAAGTGATGTTGAGTAAACATCCAAATCCTGCACATATTGCCATTGCAGAGTGCGAAAGGCGACTGAGCAAGCAAGGAAGGAGTGTTGTGGTCATTACTCAAAACATTGATGAGCTACACAGAAAGGCAGGCACAAAGCACCTCTTAGAAATTCATGGTAAGAACCAGCTTACCTGTCTGCTACAAGTCAGCAGACTTGGCAGGGAGAAGAGAGAGCAGGATAAGTAAGGGGAGAGAAGAAATTTGTCTTTAAAATAATACTAATTTGCATGAAGTTATTTACAATACCACCCTGTTCTCTTTTGGAAGTTGTTTCGGGTACTCTGTAGCCTCTCTTTATTTCTCGTCTTTCTTTTTTAATGGATTCTCACAGTACACAGGAACTGGTTCTCCCTTCCCGCTTGCTCGGTTTTGCCTCAGATCCACTTGAATGCATGTGGATAGTGACACTTGGCTGATTTCGCTTACAAAAGGGGAAAAGAATCCACTGTGTGGTGGCGGTGGTACCACACCAGTACTGCCACCAATAAAAGGTGTATTGGCAAGACTGGTCTCACCAGCCCTGACGCTTTCCCTCTGTCCTGTCCTGTCCTTCAAAGACCCACCTGCGTGGTCCTTGGCTACAGGACGAAGAAGGTGCTGGAAGCGGATGAGATTCCCTTACCCTTCTCTCCTACACCCAGTAGCTCTCCCTCTCTATTCCCTGTCATTAGTGGCATTCGTTGCTCCCGCCCTCTCTCCCACGAAGTGCCGGAGGAGCACAACACAGATGTGGCACATGGGGGTCAGTGGAGCTTTTGGATCTGAGGAAGTGTACAGGTGTGGAGAGAACGAGGCGGGGGAAGCCCTTCTCCATCCTTCGAGGTGCCCCCACTCCTCCTTTCTCCACTCCGCAGGCCCTGCCGCAGACTGAAAGTCTCCCAGGACAAAGTCCCATCCTGGTCCTCCAGCACTATGATGCTTTTTAACTTCAGTATCACAAAAGGTTTAAATGGCATTTCCCACCGTAGCTTGGTGATCTGGACACAGGGAACCTGCAGAAGTTTTTTGCAGTTGTGGATCCAAAGATAAAGCGTTGGGTATAGTTTAATTTTGATTATCCTCATTCTTTACAAAATAGAAACAATTTTAAACTCTTGGTAATATTGCACATCTCTACAGCACGTTACTAATGCTACAAAAGTCTTGGGGTTGGGGAGTTTCACATAGAACAGTGTTAACCAGCATATATTTTTTTAAGAACATATTTCTGATTTAAGAGGAAAAGCAATAAGCAGAAATCCTCTCCCTCAGAGATATTTTAAATAATTATTTTCTTTTGAAATGCTGCTACAAGGCTATGTATTACTCATGTTGTGAGGTAGAACAAGGTGATAAATCATAGCTTAGAGGGACTGTTGCTGTTGTTTACTGCGGCCTTTCAGCTGAAAGGGCTGTGTCTGTCTTTGCTGGGCCTGGCCTGTGCTTAACGATGATGCTGGTCGCTCTGGGTTGCTGACCAAAAGTGTGTGTAAGCACTGTGTAAATAGCATCTCGTTCATAATGCTGCCAGCTTTCAACACTTGGCTGTTACGTTCATGTAGTAAGTTACCCACAAGGTATAGTCTTCAAAGTCAAATAAAGGCTGTCCGGGATGAACACAACCACTTGCTTGTACAGCCGTGCCTCAGAGCAGTTGCTTGATCCCTGATGTTTTCTCTTTGTGTGTTTCAGGTAGTTTATTTAAAACTCGATGCACCAACTGTGGAAATGTAGCTGCCAATTACAAGAGTCCAATATGCCCCGCACTGGCCGGGAAAGGGTAATACGTCTGCCTTGTAAACTCTGTGTTTTCTACTTTTTCTGCTGTTCAGTAGAAAAGGAGCCATTTTAGGAGCATACAGGAGTTTCAGCCAACCGCCTAATTTTCCTTTAGTAGTATTAATGCTTAAATTTTACACAACTGTTTTGAAACGTGAGTGTACTGTTTGGTAACTTCATTGAGAGCCTGTGATACCGTTAAGTCCTGTGAATGAATAACTGTTAACCCCTAAGTTGTCACAACATTATATATGTTTTAACTAGAACAATTTCAGATGGTCTGAAAGTCTTGTATTGGATGTAAACTAATTGTACTCTTGGAGTATGTGTGTGTACTCCCATCCTCTTCACCTTCCAGCTGTTTTATTAAATTGGATGCTTATTCCTGTCATCACTTGATACATAGATTGTCCTCTTCTGTATCTCTTGAGCACCTTGTAGCTTTTGTCCTTCAACTCGTCAATAAGATTCTCATGATTACAGGTCTCAAAATACAGATGTGTGAAACAAGCAGGAGGGAAGCATCAGTCCCCAGGATTTCTGCAACTTAAAAAGCTGCAGAAGAATCCTTCAGTCTCATTTTTCTAGCCATCCTCTTTCTTTCACCATTAAAAAAAGCCGGGGGGGGCGGAGCGGACAAGACAGGACAGGCATATGCTCGTAGGTTTTTAGGTTCTTTCCCCCTTGCATTTCACCAGATCTTTAGATAGCTACATCAATATTTGTTGTGCCTTTGACAGGCTTTGACGAGCTTGCTACAGTTGCTTAGCTCTGGGATAATTCCGGACAAATGCCTGCCTGCCCCGTGTATGGTATTTTAGGGTTGTAGTAGGTTTTGGAAGTTGGCTGAAGTTGCAAAGATTCCTTGATTGGAGAGTGTGCTTTAGAGAATACTAGGTTTTTATTAATACATTAAAGTACGCTTTGTACGATTGATTATGTATTTCAATTTTGTAACTTCAGGGCTCCAGATCCTGAAACAGAAGAGGCCATGATTCCAGTTGAAGACCTTCCTCAGTACGTATGGACCGCTTTGGTTTTTGCTGTTAACCTCATCGTGCTTTGCGCATGTCAAACGCTTACATTACCATTCACGTAGTTTTGGAAGGACATGGAGACGTCCTACAGCAGAAAGAGGCGTGAGACTTTACCCCAGAGAACTGAGTCTAAAGTTACAGGGGACAGCAGACAACAGGAGTGTGTACTAGAAGTTTACCATGATGCTAAAGGGATCGCGTGTTAGTGTGCTTGAGCATCAAGCTGAAACATGCCTAAATTCATGGGTTTTGTAGTAAGTGGAGTAGGAGAATTGCAGTAAGAAACAAAGTGCTACACAGTAAACGTTTTGTTACTTTGCAGGTGCTACCTACTGTTGTTAGTCATTCTGTAACACTGTGCTGGCATACAGCCACTGCATAGTCCTTTGCAGGTATTAAATGTGCCACGGTGCTTTTTTATAATGGCTGAAGCTTTGCCTTAGCTAGATGCAGATGCAAGAAGCCACCGTATTTTTCATCTGGTTCCTAAGGAAAAGAGGCTAACGCGATGCTTCTGCCTTTCAGTTCACTTTCTCCTTAAAAACCTGTTGGCCAGTTTGTTAAAGCTGGTGGAGGCGGAGGTCTATAGCACATACTACGTTTTAAGTTTCATCCATTTCAGGAGCTGCGTGAGGGGAAGACACGATGAAGTATCTGAGTTGAACAACTGTTCAGCCAACCGTTCTGTGTGGCAGGGCAGCACGTGTGTACTTCCAACACATGTGTAGCACGGCATCGGCTGCCTTCTGTCCAGCACATGGTAGAGGAGGGTGTGGGGAGGGCTGTGAAAGAGAAGGGAGAAAGAGCAAGGGCAGGTGAGACATGCCCAAATAAGAATGAAAACTGCTTTGCCGTTTTGCAGCCTGAAACGTCCATGTCAGCAGCTTAATGCTGTCCCTTTGTGATTTTTAAACAGGTGTGAGGAGGACGGCTGCAATGGGCTCCTCCGTCCCCACGTCGTGTGGTTTGGTGAAGCCCTGGATCCTGATGTTCTCACAGAGGTTGAGAAGGAGCTTGATATTTGCGACCTCTGCTTGGTAGTGAGTGACACTTGTTACCTAGCCCCTTAACTGGTCGGGAAGCCATGGTGAAGGGGTTGCACCTCCTGGGTAAAGGAGATGTACTTGTACTTCCCTGAGGGCACTAAAAGCCAGAGGGACTCCTGCGTTAAGTATAAAACAAGTAAGACCATGAAGTTTGAAAAGGTACTCTGATGAGAGATGTATTCTCATCCTAAATCCAAAACACAGTACTATACCAGCTACTAGGAAGAAAATTAGCTCTATCCCAGCTGTAAACCAGGACAATACACTGTTCAGAAGTTAACAGGTTCAGCATGTGTGCATCTTGCTCAGCTGGCATCTGCGGTCTGCATTTAGTGTACACAGGTGTTAGAGTTTCAAGCGTTAGAGGTTAACTAATATTGGTTAGCTGTTGAGTTTCTCAAACAGTGAAAAATACGATTATTTTGATGCTCATTTTAAAAAAACGTGACCAAATGTTGTAAGAAGGTAGCTAGCTGTTGTCATCCGTTGCTTTTTTGGTGAGGTTATTTACATGCCAGGTAGGTTCCAGATCGCTGACCAAAACACTTGCTGAGAATATTGTGTACCCTTCACAGAATAATCTCGAGTAACAGAAGGAACGTCTTGTTTTGTTTTCCTGGAGGCAAAGTCTGCCATTTGCCATTTCTGCAATTTTGTTTTTTTTTCGTCTACAGTTATAATCCACAAACAGGCTTAGTTGGGTTCCATCAGAGAAACAATTCCCAATTCTTATGCTATGTTAGATGGCTATGTATGCAGTGACACTAAATCTATTGATTTGGTTTCATTTCTGTAGGGATCTTACATGCTTCAGTGGTTTTGCATATCCAGTGTTCTGAGAAGGGTCCTTACCTTGTGGGTTGGTTTGGTTTTGTCTGTTTAAATACTGGCCTGCTACACTCCTGGGGTTTTTTTTCCCCCCTGTCCCTGCAGGTCGGGACCTCCTCTGTGGTGTACCCTGCTGCTATGTTTGCCCCTCAGGTATCTGCCAGAGGAGTGCCAGTTGCAGAATTTAACATGGAGGCTACTCCTGCTACGAACAGATTCAGGTAAAGCCATTCAGTTGTAAACTAGCAACCTTTAGTCCCCTCCATCTTCATTGTCTTTTGCATTGAACCGCTAAAACGCCTAGAAAACTTTTAAACGAACACGATCTAGTCTTTTCCCCAGTGCTTAGGAAACGCTGCTTTCTTCTAGTAAGTAAGAAAAGAGGGTCGTTCTTCCTCGGTGGCATTAGCTCAGGCTGAAGCCAGAGGTGTGTTCTTCCAGGTGCGGAGCTGGCCCCTGTGCCTAGCTCGTAGGAGCCCTACGGCCCCCTCCCTCAGGGGCAGGACCGAGGACCGGGTCCTCGCCCGCCCCTTCACCCGCCTTCTTCCTTCCAGGTTCCACTTCCCGGGGCCCTGCGGGACCACTCTGCCGCCGGCGCTGGCCCGCCACCAGACCGAGATCATCTCCTGAGCACCTCGGAGCGGGAGGAGGAGGCGGCGG